CTTCTAACAGCGTTGTCAATTGAGTTTGCCCTATCGGATATGATTGTCAGATTACTAATAGGACCTATGCAATCCCTAAGATGCCCCATAAACCATGTCCATGAATCAGAGGTTTCAGATTTGCCAACCTCGTAAGCTATTGACAATATCCCATTGTTAGTATCCATGGCTACTGCTAATAAGTTTACTCCAAGGTATCGACCTTTCAAATGTGCTCCGTCAACTATAATAACTGGGCGCATGCAAGTAATAAACGAACGAATCTACAAAATAATATAAACAAGAAATATAATCATTTAAATGTGAAATGCATGTAACTAACAAAAATGAGTCAACAAAATTATATTGATTTACTAACCGCAGCACCAATGGCGATAAACAGCAACTCAAAGCGTCCATCTCTATCTGTTTTGATATGAGTTACCGACCCATGATTTTTCAGCTTTAACTTGTGACAATAAGCCGGCAATTTGGCAAACGATGCTTCTGGCGACCCCCTCAACAATTCCAAAGCATAACATTTGGCTCTCCAAGCTTGAGAATATGATATACTAATCTTGAACCGAGCATTCATGTCAGCCATAATTTCATGTCCCTGATATACCCTGCCATTCAAAAACATTAACTCAGCCAGAAAACCACCCAACGCCTTTTTGTTTGCCTGTCTATGGTGAGGAAAAACTTGGGTTTTTGAATATGTATGTTTATCAATAAAAGTTCTAACTTGAAACATTTCGCAATCTTTTATCCTCTTTGCAATAATACGCCACGTACAGTTTTTGTCAATCATACACCTTGTTTCGAAACGATCTTTGCTTGATTTGTTAACTTTTAGTTGATAGCCATCTTCCACACATTTCGTATACAAACCTATCTTCAAGTCTTCCTTTGTATCAAAACAATCATCTTTCTTGATACGAATAACTTTTGTGTAACAATCAACTGCTTTCTTTACCAACTCTTCTTCCGGTAGCTGAAGTAATTCTGGTATATTCCAGTTATACTCCCGTGTCATTTTCTTTTCTTCGGGGACTTTTTCTTTTTCTTCTTCAGGATTATATGAATTACAGAATGGATGTTCAACATATTCATTCACAGTCGTAACTTCCTCCTCATTATCATCAACAACATCTTCCTCGGCAACGGCTGTTTCATCATCAAAATTCGGGTATTGACCAATATCAAAATCATTACACGCAGGGTCTGTTTCTTCTTCTGAAACATCATCAAAATCCGAGTATTGACCAATATCAAAGTCCGGGTATTGACCAAGATCAAATTTCGAATACTGACTAGTACTCACAATTTTTTCTCTTGGCTCATCATCGTCTAATTGGTCAATACGAAAACCTGAATTTGGTGCTGAAAGTTGATTGGGATTTGGATTAAAGAAAGGTTGTGGGTTTTGAGAAAAACTTAGTTGATTACTACCCGCTACTGACCAATCAATACTACTTCTAGGTTCAACAACATACAATATAACATCATCACTTGAAACACTAATGTAAGCAATGAATCGTTCAACATCTTCATTGTCGGTTAACAAATAAACTTTACCTTTTCTCTGATAAAATAGCCTAAATCTACTTAGGGGCTCTAAATTCCATGAAGAAAAGCTGTTTTAACATCTAGCTGCTCTATATGTAAGTTCAATGTAGCACACATTGCCAAAACTACTCAAACTGTTGTTAGTCGAACCACAGGAAAAAATATTTCATTGAAATCAATACCTTCTTTTAGAGCATATCCTTTGACCACCAGTCTTGCACGATACCTCTCAACTTGATCGTCACCATTTCGCTTGATTTTGAAGACCCATTTGTTACCAATTGACTTCCTTCCTTGTGGTAGTGACACAAGGTACCATGTATTATTTTTATGAAGGGCTTCAATTTCTTCTTGCATCGCCATCATCCACAGTGAAGCATCTGAGCTGTTTATTGCCTCCTGGTATGTTGATGGCTCACCGTCCTCTGTTAAAAGGCAGTATGCAATATTACCTTCTATAACATAATCTGAGTGCCAATTGAGACGTCTTCTCACACGATCTGATTGACGAGTTGTTGGAGCTTCAGAACTCTCTGGTTCTTGTTCATCATGTGCTGGTTCTGCTTCAGAATAATCTCCTTCTTCAAACTCTTTTTCCACATGTATCTGAGTAGTCTCTGACTTTTCAGCGCGATCATCGTCTTCTTTTCTTTTTTAGTTTATCTTCTACAAAGATAACATCTCTACTAATGATCACTTTGCGGGCAGTGGGATCTCACAAGCGATACCCCTTTACTCCATCAGCATACCCCAAGAATTTGCATTTTTGGGATTTTGGATCCAACTTTGAAATTTCTTGGGAGTTGTACATCACGTACACTATACTTCCAAATATATGGAGGTTTGAATAATCAGCTAATTTTTCAGTCCACGTCTCCATTGGTGTCTTCAGCTCTATTGCAGTTGATGGAGCTCGATTCACCAAATAACAGGCGGTATTAACTGCTTCTGCCCAGAATGATTTTTCTAGGCCTGCATCCCTCAACATTGCTCTTGTTCTTTCTAACAAGGTTCTGTTCATCCGCTCTGGCACTCCATTTTATTGAGGAGTGTTCGCCACTGTGAACTGTCTTTTGATGCATTCTTTCCTGCAAAAGTCATCAAATTCTTCGCTTGTGTATTCTCCTCCATTATCTGTTCTGAAACACTTGATCTTATTTCTAGAATCAAGTTCCACCCGCGCTTTGAAGTTTTTGAAAGTTGAAAACACGTCTGACTTCTTCTTAATAGGGTGCACCCAACATCTCCTGGAGTAGTCATCAATAAATGAGATAAAGTGTTTTGCTCCACCTAGGGACGTTACTGGTGCTTGCCATATATCAGAGTGAACCAATTCTAGAACACTTTTGCCTCTAGAATTTGATGTGTTGAATTTCAACTGATGCTGCTTACTTGTTATGCAATGCTCACACAAAGGAAGTGATACATTTGTTAAGCCTGGAAGTAGCTTTTGCTCCACAAGGACTTTCATTCATTGTTCTGACATGTGTCCAAGTTTCTGATGCCATAGCATTGCCGAATCTGATCTACATGAGGCAACAGAGGCTTCTGCTTCTACCAAAGTCTCTCCCTTCAGCATGTACAAGTTTGCAGCTATATTTTTTCGCCTTTCAGCACCACAAGCGCTCCACGGAACACCTTCATGATTCCTTTCCGTGTTTCAATCTTGTTTGCATTATTATCCAACAATCCGTAGGATAATAAATTTTTCTTCAGGCCTTTCGTGTGCCGCACATCTTGAACAACTTTAATTGTTCCGTCATATATCTTCAATTTGATGGTTCCCACGCCAACGATCTCTAAGGCATGATCATTGCAACTATAAACAGATCCTCCTGAGACAGGTTCATAATGATGGAACCATTCTCTTCTTGAGGTCATGTGATATGTTGCTCCCGAATCAATGAGTCATATATCTGCAAATCGTTTTCTTCCTTCCACGGTGGTTAACGCTTCACAGCATAGAGCATCTCCATCATCTGAAGTGTTTGCGGTATTGCCTTGTGGATTGGAGTTTTTATTTAGACTCCAACAATCCTTCTTTAAATGACCCTTATTTCCACAGTTGTAACACTTTAAATTCTTCTTGCTCCTCGACTTCGATCTACCATCTTTGTAACTGCTGCTTTGGCCACGTTCTGTTGATCTCCCTCTCATCATTGTCATCGTTGTCAACGCTTCTGCTTGTTGCAGATTTACTTGTCTGTCTTCCTTGTTCTTGCGCCGATTTTCTTCTTGTAGAACAGTAGCTGCAACATCATCAAAGACTAGACTAGTGACATTACTGTTTGTCAAGTTGATGATGAGTTGATCATACGAATCCGGTAGACTTTGAAGTAGAAGTTCAGCACGTTCTTATTCTCCTATTTTACAACTTAAGGATGTAAGCTGAGAAAATAAAGTATTCACTGTATTTAAGTGCTCTTTCACTGAAGTAGATTCTGGCATACGGAGAGTGTACAATTTTCTCTTAAGGAAAATTTTATTGTGCAGCGATGTGGCCTCGTACAATTTGGTAAAATTGTCCCATATCTCCTTAGCTGTCTTCTTCTCCTCGATGTTTGACAATGCTTATCTAATAATGCTAGATGAAAGTTTGTCATAGCATTCCCGATCATTTCGATCCATTTGTTGTCATCTGTGAAATTCACTGGCCTTTCACTGATAGTTGCTAGACAACCGTCTTTCCTCAGGATGGCCTTCATCTTCAATTTCCACAATGAGAAATTTCTCCTATTGAATTTTTCAATATCAAATTTTGTTGTCATAGCTTCTATTATTGATAGCTCCCACTATTTCACTATCGTGAATAGTTCTCTAGAACCTTAAAGAATGGGTAATACCTTCTTATTTTCTTATTTTGGAGGATTCACCTTTTGGTGGCAACCACAAAGACAATAAACAAATATTACACACTCAAATCTGGCTCGGATACCAATTGTTGCGGAAGACGGCTATCGGATAGAGCAAAATCGTAACTGATAATTTGATAAAATAAAAATGAAGATAAAAGAGACACAAAATTTACGTGGAAAACCCCTAAAAATTTAAGGTAAAAATCACGGGCAACGGTAGAAGAATTTTACTATTAGAAAATAGGAATTACAACCTCTCTCGATCTACCAAGGAGAAAACAATGATAATTCTCTATAGATAAAAAGGAGAAAACAACTCTCAAGAAACTCTCTAAAATCTCTCTAGTATTGAAAGAAAACCAGAATGCTTTGGGATGATTTTGAAGCTAAATGAGCTAGGGTATTTATAATGAAACTCAAGGACTAATCTTATAAATACCCTAATTTTTGATGCCTAATTTCAACAAAAATTAAATGCCTAATTTTTGATTTTGACAAAACACCATTTAATTCCTAATTTGGTGTCTAAATTATTTGACTTTTAACATTTATGACAGATTCAAGAAAAATGGAGTAATAGTTAACAGCGTACTATAACTAATGACAACTTACTAAATGTTCCCAGATAAAGCTAAATGTTCCCAGATAAAGGTCCTTGTATCCAGCAACCCTGCCAATGCGAGCCTGCCACCTTACACGCTGATGATGTCTACACAAACAAATATTAAATGGAATCAGTACATTAAATCAAACAAAAGATAGAAAAAGAATACATGAGGTCAAATATCATTAAAGGAAACAAAACCTAGTGACTCCTCTGAACATTGAGGCCCCTCTCGAGAACCCACTACTTTTCCTGCAAGCAAATGGATTGTAATCAACTTATCACAGACGGAAATTGAATTAAGATGAAAATCAGAAACCAACCTCCGTAAATGGACAACATATTTCTGGCGGTTCATGTTCTTCATTTCTTCCAGTTCTTCACGGTAATTTTCAAGCTTCAAAGAATCAAAAGAGAACCAAAATTTATCATGTCCATTAAAACCACATTACCAAATATAAGCTGGAAACAATTTCATTTACCGGAAAATTTATATGCGTGGAAGATCCCCAGTACTTGAGAGCAGCAAGATCATAAGCTCTGGCAGCCTTATCTTCCATGTCATAGCCCCCTGAAATTCGGAAGCAACTAGATTAATAACGATTACAAATGCAGTGTTTCAAATAATAATTTATTAAGAGAATGCTTACCTAGATAAACTGAAAATGCATGAGTTGATTGAAAAAGCATCCACGAAAAGGACGAACATGACAATGAGAAATTAATAACACAAGTCAGGTCACTTGAACAGATGGACCAACATATACACCCAAGTGGACACAGTAAATGTGTTTGGTTTTTGGTTTAAACAAACCTTGCCTCCCTTTCCTTGTTTGCCCTTCTTTCCTGCAACTGTTGTCCCACAGATGAGCTTCGTATCTACCCGTCCATCTATGTCTGGTGGTCAACATTTGACAAAGGTGAATGGTAGAACAGAAAAGAATACTACCTATACAGTACCAATGGAAAAAGTATGACCTGACCTTGTGACACCCCGATACTGGGATGTTCTTTGTCCAAAAGTGTCAATGGACTTCCTATGAACAGTTTGCTTCCGACCAACCTTTTCAGGCCTTCTTTTTTTTGTTTCCGTGGCCACACATTCAGCGGTAGTTGGTGAGATCTGCCTCGGAGCTGTAACGCAACTGGATTGGGAACCAGGATTCATCGACAAACTTTGGGACTGCAAGTCCCCACAACCCATTGGACAGACGAAGCCGGAAGCTGCTCCATCATCAACCATGCTACTAGTCATCTGTTGTTCCATTGATCCACGGGTAGAGAAGTGAGAAGCTACCCAGTTTTTAAAGTAAGGCAATGTTTCTTCTCCCAATGGAGGAATCTGGGAATCACAGTCTGCAAGTTGGGTATCCTTGGTTTCGTCCTCCAATGGCGAAAGAAACATGGCTTGGCAGGCAAGTCCTGAAAAGTAGTGGTGAGTTTGAACAGAAAAGTCTTGTTCTTGCTTTCTAAAGGGTTCTTGGAGAAGGTCCAGAGAATACAGCTGGTTGTGTTCCTGATTCGCATCTTGGTGGTAGTACATGCTGTCTAAGCTGAGTGGCATTGTTTCTCGTTGGTGACTTCCATATTGATGAGGGTCCATAATTGCACCACCCAGAAAGTCCTCCAGTTTTGGAGACGAAGTAGGAACAATCCCTTCAAACAAAACAAGCATTGAATAATACAAGTGTTGGGACAAATAATAATATCAAGAAAACTTGGGGAAATCTTGTTTATGAGGGAACCTTCTGACTGTGATCTATTGCAGAGAGCTTCCATGATGCATAAAGAGCCATCTGACTTAAGTGGCATAACAGACAAAGGAGCGTGAAAGCCTCCACTAGCACCAACTCCATAGCAGATTCCAGAGCCATTGAGGTGAGAAGACAAGTAGAAGCTGGTAGGAACACCATTAGATACAGGGGCAGAAGCTTGACTATGATGAGGGCACTGATGATGACGGTTTTTGGGATCAGTAGCCACCTGCATGTTCATGTGAGGCGAAAGGGAGAAGCCAAGCCAGTTATTATTGCTGTCATTGTTATTGTCGTTCAGAGACTTCATCTTCTTTTCTCTTTCTCTCTCCCTCTCTTGCTTTCCTGACTCTCAAGTTTTCAGCAGTTAAGAGTCCTCGCTGCAAGGCAACTCAATCATTGAAACGAAAATAAGCTAATCATACCGAAAATCACTTTGAAAATGAACTCGTTCTAGCAATGTTGCACACACACACACACATATATATAGTCTATTTTTTTGTTATATATATATATAGTCTATTTTTTTGTTACTTTTTTCTACAATAGTGTCTCTCAAACCCTTAAAGAATCTCAGATATAATACATATCACCAAAAACCCTTTTGCATAAACCAACAAAACCTCACTTAGGTTTGTCAAATGTCCTCCTGCTACCCATAAAAAATAGAAAAAGAAAAACCAAGAAATAATGACCAAGTTTCTCTCTCTCTCGGATTTTGAAAGCAAAAACTAGCTATTAATAAGTGACCAATAGGGAGAAGGGGTGGTCAGACAACAAAACTAGGTGGGCTTAAATTTACAGTCACAGATCCTTAGATAGATTTGAAGGGCAACACACTGCCATCCAGTCATTTCATATATTACACTCTTCTGTGCCACTCTGCACACTGAAGAAGATCCAATTTAAAAATCCAATGTTTTTTGTTTGCCCCTCCCAACTTAAATACTGCTCCAATTTGGTTCACAGCTTTCTTTTCATTCCAAAAATAAAAATAAAAACTCAATACTTGCGGTATGGGCAAAAAACAACGCAAAAGCTAATAGTTCTACCAGTAGTATTTAGAACTACGGAATACCAAATACTTTTTTTAGTTTTTTTTCCTTTCAACAATGACCATAGATCGGTCACAGCATATCACCCACCGTCGACTTTTTCTTTTTGATAAAGAAAGCTGCATTTGGGTGGGTCATCTGATATGACTTGTGCTGAACTCGGGCTTTATTCATCTGACAGTAATCGCCTTTCCTTTGGCTCTCATCTTCAATTGGTGATGCTGTGGTGACCCACAGTTTTCTTTTCTTCTAAAATGATTTTTTCGTTATAGCTTCCGTGATGGCAAATAATACAGGAAAAATTAGTCCGAAATGCAGAATGATGAAGCACATAATCTACTAATTTTCCTGTGCTTGTTGCTATTTTTAAACTTTTGCATGGCATGTTTTGCTGCAAATAATTTGTGGCTAGTGCGAGCAATTAGGAATGACAGCAGACAATTTTTAAAATTTTAAAAAGAACAAGTTTTGATAAAAATACATTATTAATTAAAAATATGTTTTAATTTGAAAGTTTGAGATAGAAAAAACAAATGCCTTACACGTTCCCTTGAATTCATCCCTGTGAGCAATTATAGAGCAGACTTGATTTGACCTTAAATTGTGATCATTTATTTGGATGTTAGAACGTAAATGTACATATTAAGGATGAACCTCGTATCAAACAATCTTTTGCGTGTATAAAAGATATGCCAGGGGGTTTAGAGCTCGTGAAGTTCATCGCATACATTTTGACTGTATTAAAAATTGTTTCCCTGAAGAGTCCTCAAACTATTGCTTTAAAATTGTGTTGTGTCCAAAATTTCAAAGCATATTAAGTACTAATACTATATTCAAATTGTATCCTCAAACAAGTGTTGTGTGGTAATGCTAATTTATTTCTTTAATGTCAATTAAAGAATGTATAAAACAGAAAATCTCAATCTGCTTTTCTAGTAGTTTTTTTTTCTGTTGAAATGTTTGGTCAACACCTACTCCAAGACACCATGAGCACACTGATGTCGAAACACGTCGAGACAGTACATGCTAAATTCCACTATCGAGGCGAAAACGTCTCCATGGGCGTATCTAATGCCCAGAACCATTGATTTCAGGGGAAAAAACTATCAAGTAATCTACTGTCTGACGGTAATCCTTTGTTTTCTTTAATTCACATCAAATGTCCACTGTGAGTTTATACGAGCTGGTACAAGCATTTCTTGTGTGAAGATGCCACTAGTTTAGTTTATTTATCTCTTTTATTCCACCAATATTTATTTTTCAGGAAAACAGTGCATTTTGCTGTCTTCGTTGTTTTCACTGGCAAATTCCCTTTATAGTTATCATTTGCAGTATACAGCATTAAACAATATTATCCATGAAAGTGTTTTTGCAGTGTCTTGTGACTTTAGAAGCACATTCGGCAACATTATAGAGGTTTCCTACCACACTTCCATTGAATTCAATACATAACTACATGGACCTTGGGGATATGGTCTTATAATTTTAAATATTGATTAAATAGATTTTTATTATTCACTTGAAGTAATGGGCCAGTCTTAGGTAGAACAAATGAAGCGTAATCACATTTTATTTCATTTATGGTATGTCTGTTTGCCGTAAAATGAATTACGGAAGTAGTTTTCCTCGAAATCCCGTGTTTGTTTCACGTAAAACTTTTTTCGAAAAATATTTTTCAGTGTTTGGTTGGAGGTAAACTGGTTGGTCAACGTAAAACATTTTCCTGGTCAACAGAATTTCCTTTGTGTTTTCTGGAAAATCAGGAAAATGACTTACGATCTGATTTTCCGTAAGTCATTTTTCGAACTTTTCACTTCAAAGAATAAATACTCAAAATAATTTTATTTTATGAATTTAGTATTAATAAAATATTTTAATATCATTTTAATCAAAATATTAATTATTAAAATATTTAAAATATATTTAAAATATATTTCTAATAATATAATATTATATTTTTAATATTATAATAAAATAATCAATTATATTATAATAATATAAGATATTATATTTTTATTTTAATAATATATAATAAATTATTAATAAAATTTATATTATTTATTAATTTCATAGAAATAATATTATTAAATTATTAATAATGAATAATATCATTTATATATTTAATATTAATATAATAATCTAATAATATTTTAATAAAGATATTTAAATATACTAATTAATATTTTTAAAATATAATATAACACTATTACTTTAATAATAATTAATATAATTTATAATATTTTTATTTCAATAAAATATACCAATATTAATATTTTATTAATAAAATTATAAAAAATATTTAATAATAAATAACTTATTTAATATTTTAAAATAATAATATTAAGTTTTATGATAAATAATATTACTTATTGTATTTAATATTTGTAATAAATAATTTAAAAAAAATCATCAACTAGTGAAAAAAAAATTTAAATATCTTCCCATCATCGTAAAATATTTTTTAAAAAACATTTTACAGAAATATAATTCATTTTTCATAATTCAATTTTCAGAAAATCATTACAGCTAAACAAATAGAGTTGTAGTTGTGTTTGTCATTTTGGGGAGATGACATGTTGCATGGAGGAGGAAGGTAATCATGGCGGGCATAGAGACAGATATTCAAATGTGAATGATTTGGTTCAATGGGAGGGAGAATTGATGGTAAGGGGTTCCTTTTGATTATATAGCAATCATGACTGAATCCATCCAACACCAAAGCCCTGAGATTTATTGCTTCTTTTACTTTCTTGAATCAGTGCATGGGGCATGGGCAAAGGGGCTGATCTGCCGGCCTCTCTCTATATTAATTTTCATTCTTTCATTTTCAACATCCTTTCTGGTTGGGTTGTGATTCGGTGCTGTTTCTTCTGTTTTACCCTATTTTTGCCACCATTGAACATTTTCTCACACTCCAGCCATGCTCCGCCACAAAGAGACCAAGATAAACAAATGGTAGTTATTATCATTTTAGAAAAAAATGCATTGCGATTTTGGATTTGACTTTCGCGTTGTAAATTTGATTATCGCGTTGTGATTTTAGACTATCGCGTTGCGAATATGGAAACTGAGTTGAAAAATTAGAATTCGCGTTAAAATCGTACATTATAAAACATTTTCGATCACTTTTGTTATTTTCTCAAAAAAAAAAAAAAACCTCAAGGGAAGAAGAAAACGAGGCACCGAAAGAAAGGATAAGAAGGAACCATTTTTTGTCTGATTGTAGAATATGTATGCTTATATTTGGTGAGAGAGGTGACCTTACAAGCTGATGGTGTGAAAGAAAAATATAAAAAAAGAAGAGACACCGCTGTGCTTTTAGAGGACAAAATACAGTAGAAAACAGTTTGCATTAGAAAGCGCTTTTCTTCTCAGTGGGTGTCAGCCCATTTGTTAGACATTGAGTTTAAGCAACGTTATTGCACGCATGGGAGAATTTGGAACATCAACACAAAACCTTGTCAAATTAGTGAAATAGAAGTGTGTAATCAGATGTGGTTAACCTAATCAAAAGACCATTTCTTGTTGGACAATCAATCAAATAGAATATTTAATAAGGGTGCAGCTAAAACTGGAGAGGAAAGGGAATGAAAAAGATTGAACAAAGGAAGGTGGGAGAGAATTAAATGTGGGGAAGGAGTAATGAGAGTCACGTGAGAACACAAAATCCAAACAAAATCTTAAAGAAAAGATTGGAAACAAGAGGCCATAGGGAGGGAGGCATGGAGATATCCCAAATTCACCAACATTACAACAGCTGCAACTCACTGTTCATTTGTATAACGCTTTACCATAATTCAACCAACTTCTCGCAGCTTAGTCCCATGCTGCCTGACCTATTTCTCACTACGCTTGAGCTCCTTTTAAGCTTTGCTGACATATCAAAGTTGTGGTTGGATTCACTGCGAAAAAAAAAACAGACTATAATAACTGCGTTCTTCTTTTGACAACATAGTAAACCAACCTCATCCTTCAAATAAAAATCCACGACCCTAAGCAAATCAATTTGAAAACAAAGAGGTGGGTGGGACGTTGTGGCCAGCCTTTTAACCTTTAATTTCTACCTTATCATGTCGCACCATCAAAAACTAACCCTTTGTGCAGTCTTTTAAGATTACAACGGGCCTTTAAAACGTAATCCATTTTGTTAGAGCTAACAAAATCCAAAATCAAATGAAAACACTGAGAATATTTTTTTTATATTTTCATATTTTCATTTACTTTTATTTTTATTTTTATAGAATTTTTTTTAAATTTTATAATTAAACTTTTTTCTTCAATGTTTTCTATTTTTAAGAAAATAAAAATAATATATAACTTTTAAAACTAAACAGGACCCTTAAATTCTTATTTTGATAAAACTAGTTTAAATACCT